GTTGTTGGGGGCAATATGCTGACTCTGTAAACCGCTTAGAGAGGGCTGAAAGCCCTATGAAGCGGTATATAAGTCTAACTGCTATTGCTATATAGTCATTTTACAAATCTGTGCATGTGTAGGCTTGAAACGTTCCTTAACATTTTAATTCACAGAAGAAGACTCGGCTATCAGAACATAGAAAACACTTGCAGCAAAATGCTGGGATTATCTGAGTTTCCTCAAATTGGCACCACTGCAAATATGCTGAAATTGAACTTGCAAAATTCCCAGCCGGACAATTCCCAGAAAGATTTGCCTAGGCAGTAACAGCTCAGTTATGGCCTCCTTAGGTCTGATCCAAACATCAGAAATCTACAAGTCAACATGAGATTAAAGAATTCAGGTAAACTCTTTTCCTCCCTTGGTAAACAAGGAAATCTCTGAGTCCTCTTTTTCTGGTTTGTTCTCCTCTTCCCAGAATCCCTTCTGAAAAAGATTCCCTTTCACGGGCAACACGTCCACACTCGAAGGGAAATCCTACACAAGATGCAGAAAGTAGCCCTGTTCAAGATTGAAAGCTACTGGCTCCCCAACTTCTTCAACCATTGCAAGTTAAGCATGGAGGAGGAGCCCAAATGTCTCCATCTACTCAAGCAGTATCAGGACCCCTCGCTCCACCTTAGCCTGAAGAGGCAGAAGTTATTACCTCTGGCTCCAATGAGCATCCGAGGAAGCAGCTTGGATGCTAAATCCTACTTCAGTTTGAAAAACAAAAGGGAACTTTGGGATCAGATGAGAGGCAGGAGCGTTTCTTACAAAGGGAAAAAGAAAGATGGCCGCAGCCAGAAGCTCAAATTTCATAAAGGTAGTCCCAAGAAGCTGACCTTCTCCAGAAAGAGCTTCTCAAGTCCAAGTCCTCCTCGCAAAGAACTCAAGTGGGACTCTGAAGATGTGACGTCTTTTGATGAATCGTTGAACTTCAGAAGCAGTCCGAGCGAGTTCTTCACCTCCCCTGTCTCAGATGAGTTCCCTGACAAGTTCACCTTCAACAAATTGCCCTCCTCCACTCCTGTAGTGCAGTTCCCTTCCATGCTCGCTCTGAAGACTCTCGTCAAGTCTCACCCGTGCTTAGACTTCCTACCTTGGGTACTCACAGCTGACAAATGCGCCGGACGACCCTTCAGGGAGTTTTTACTGCGGAGGAACTACGCAGTAGAGGTTCATCTCCTTGACCTGTGGCATGACCTGGAGGACTTCTTGCGCATGATGTTGTGCTCCCTTGGCGAAGGGAACATCCTTCTGCGCCACGTGATGGGGGAAAGGATTTGTGAGCTGTATCTGACACAGAGCAACAATTGGCATCTGCCTCTGAAACTAACAACACTCCAGAGTTTGCAGAATCTCCTGCCTTCTGGTCATGTGATTCCATGGGTCCTGAAAGCACAGAAGGAAATCTGTAAGGTGGGTAGACCATCATTTGAAATTTTTGAAATTTAATAACATTTGTATGCCGCCCAATCCCGTAGGACACCGGGCGGCTTACAGAAACAAGATAAAAAACATTTTTTTAAAAAATTAAGAATAAAAATACAATTATTAAAATTACACACCATCCATTCTGTCTAGGTGGGGCTGGACATTGATCAACAGCCCCAGGCCTGCCGGAA